AGGTCAGCGAGGAACACGGTGAGGAGGGTGTCTGCAAGCCAAGGAGGGTGATCTCACCAGAAGCAGCCCTTGAGCACCTTGAACTTGGCCCCCTAGCCTCCAGATGTGTGGGCAAATAAACATCTGCTGTTTGAGTCACTCCGTCTGTGGTATTTCCTTACGGCAGCACAGGAGACTAACACAGAGGGTCGTATCCTACTCTCAGGGAGATGGGAGTACAAGAGTCAGTATGTGTTTAATAATTTAATATATTTCATCACTGATAACAATTTATCTTGCAAACCCATTCAGAGTCTGATGAAAGCAAAGTTTAGAGAACTCTGCCACCTGTTTGAGAACTCACCGTCAGTCGGTGACAGTGACAGAATAGGGTCTTGAAACAAAGACTTCTTAAGTCAAGCCCTTTCTTCTTTTTATTGTGTAACTTTTTCTCCCTCAGTAGAATCCTGACTGGTAACATACATTCAACAGCGGCACAATATGTGTGTGTGAGATGAGTGACCATGTTTCTTTGAGCCTTTCTGGGATGATAAAGCACAAAGAATGAAATGAGATGGTCAGTGAGGTGCAAGCAGGACCAGCTGAACTAAGGGAGGCGAACATGTGTCTAGGGATGAGCTGACAAAACCTTAAAATTAGCTTCCATTCCATTACTTAGATGAGAACAGCATACACCCAGGAGGTCTGTGTGAAGGTAAATTCAAAAAGATACATGCACCCCAGTGTTCACTGCAGCACTATTTACAATAGCCAAGACATGGACACAACTTAAATGTCCCTCAACAGATGACTGGATAAAGGATTTGTGGTATATGTATACAGTGGAATATCACTCAGCCATAAAAAGAACGAAGTAATGCCATGTGCAGCAACATGGATGGACCTCGAGATCATCATTCTAAGTGAAATAAGCCAGAAAGGAAAAGAAAAATACCATATGATATCACTCATATGTGGAATCTAAAAAAAAAACAAAAAAAACACGAATGTATTTACAAAACAGAAACGGACTCACAGACACAGAAAACAAACTTACGGTTACCAGTCAGGAAAGGGGGTGGGAAGGGATAAACTGTACTGATTCATTTTCAATTTTCATACAGTTTCAGACTTGCATTTGTGTTTTTTTGCCACTGGCCTAAGGGCAGATACCTGAGGCAGCAACGTGGTGAATTTCTGCTATCATTTTCTCTGTATCTGTTAAACTGAACTATGCACCACCAGCACACATAATAGACCCTCAGCAACTCTTTTAATTAAAAAATATGTTAAGTAGTAAGTTAATGTATTTCTAATTTACATATAGACTATTGTTATTTTATTAAGAATTTAAAATATAAATTTATAACATCTAGCTCACATCTATATAATAAAAAAATTCTCAATTCTCCTGATTAAGAAAGTAATAGACATTTATTATATGGATTGAAAGTAATGCTAATGAATGTAAAAATATTTAAAAATCAAATTGAAAATCACATTTAGAGTCAGTCTCTGTTAATATTTAATGACTTCCCTTCTAGTATATAATTTATAATTTCATATTATACAGAACAGAGATCACACCACATATTTTATGTTCTCCTATTTTCCATTAATATTATCTTGAATACTTCCCCATCATTAAAAATTTTGTCAAATATGTTTATGCCTGCATGTGTATATCAATAATAAAATGATTTAGGTGTGTCAATGTAATCATGCAATGATAGGATTTAAATGAATACATTAACAGAATCTTTTTCCCCATATGGGTATTTCCTTTAAGCCAAAGCTGTTTATTACCAAAATGACTATGTGCTTAGTTAGTAAGCTGAAGTCAGATATCCACAGAGGCTAATATCTTTATCACAAGATTAATGAAATGGTATACTTAGCACCCTCACACAATACTGGACAGCTGAAAAATGCTGGGTGATACACGTTTCATTCTGTAAAAGTTAAGCTGCTATAATACTCACAACATATTAATAGGCTCTGTGGATGAGAATAAATAAGTCAGCATGAGACAAGTCGTCCATCCTTGGGTACGAGCAATCTCTCTGAGGGACCAGACACATACATGTGAAACAGGCAAAGGATCATCCCAGGGAGCGAGACCAGGAGTGCTCCGTGTAGACAGTCAGCGGTGGTGGGACGTGGAAGCGGAGGGTCAGCCTGGATGGGTACAATCAAAAAAGCTTCCTGGATAAGCTGGTCTGAGCTCTGGTTCCTGATGTCGGAGTCCGGTGGAGGAACATTTACTAAGTGCCTGCTGTAACCAGTCCTCATTGTCAGTCACCTGGAGACTCCTTCTAGAACCAGCAGTGACATTCCCACTGACTCCAAATCGATGCTCTTTAAACGGCACTGTTAACGAGACAAGAGTCTGGCTCCAAAGTGCTAATGACTAGGTGACACTGCCTGTTACTAGCAAAGGGCAGTGGTGAAGGTGGCTTGAACAACACTGCTACTGGGTGAACTTCTGGTTTCTGCATCGGGTGGTGTGGGCAATATCACAAAGACGATTCCCTGAAACAGATTACTTGGGAAACTCATGGAAAAGGATATAACACAAAGGCAGTATTATCATTTTTCCTTTTTTTGAGGTTTCAGCGTAAAAAGATGTATCCTGGATTCCACATACCGGGGAGTCTCACGTACTATTCAGTCACCAGGGCAAGCAAAGGAAGGCTGTGTTCACAGACGGATCGTGCCGGCAATCAGCCTTGAACTTCCTGTGCCCAATTGAAGAAATGATTTTCTTTGGTAATGCAATATTTGATGCAGATGGATAGCCAAATGATTCCACAGTGTCTGAACACTCCCCAACAAAATGAAGAAGACTAGAGTCAATTTGATTTGTGCAGAGAACTGTTATTGCTCAAACGAGCCAACCATCACTAATGTTTCGTATGAAGCTGATGAGATCAGAGGTCTCTGGGATGAGCAGAGGCTGTGGAATCAGAAGATACATGCTGCCAGTGTCCTTCAAGGCCAACTCAAATGTCGCCTCCTCCCTGACTACTGGAAGCAGAATAAAAGGCTGGCAAAACACTGGGTGTATACCTCGGGCATGTTAGCAGCCATCCCAGCACAGTCTTAGACTTGCAACTCTCGTGCCTCCTTGGTAACACCAATTTGTGGATGCTGGTGAGAACCATTGTGAGTTTCTTCCTACCCCAAGGCCCCGAGTTCCTGGGGGAAACTGTTTCCTATACAGCTTGAGCAGCACGGCTAGCTGTCACGCTGCTGCAGTCGCTCCCAGTTTCCCGCTTGTTCAAACTCCATCCCCCGCTGACCCAGCTGACTGCCACTTCGCCTAGAATGTGGCTCATAGAATCACACCATGTCCGACGCACCAACTTCCCCTCTGCCTATCCCTGTGCCAAAGCCACTGAAAGTCAATGAATCCTTTCTGTTAGGTCCACACAGCCCGCCTCTGCCCTCCCAGATTCACCGGTCTCCTCCCAGGAGGCAGATGTCTCTGCGTTCTTCTCTTTCTCTCACGCAGGTGCATGGAAGAAGGGGTAGGAGTGTAGGTGTTGTTGCAGCAAAGCAGGGTTGTTTATTCAGAGTTGTTACCAATTTACCAACTATATTAAACAAGTCTCCCCTGGGTCTTCCGGGATGCAGCCCGCGGTACGCGGAGGATTGAATGCGATGCAGTGGGGTTAGAGCCGGGAAGGTTAATGCCCAGCCACAGTCCCTCCTCCTGATTTCCTTTCCCCTTCAGGACCCCTCCTGTGGACCTGTGTGCCTAGCCTCTGACTCACTCACAGGCTCTCTTCTCTCCTGGGCATCCTGTCTCTCTCGACACTGCTTTTTGCTGGGTCTTTCCTACCCCAGGATGTCACCCAGATCCTTGTAACTCTGAACATTAGTGGCCAAGATTCATTTTCTTTCCCACGTTTCTCCTAGATGCCCTGGAAATAAAGAGATGCGGCCAGTCCCACTGGATCGGAGTGAGGAGACTTGGCAGTCCAAAGAAAATGAGAATTAGTGGGAGTATGAATGTCTTTCTTAAGACTGGGTCCAATTTTACTGGTCACGAACCATAGTTTTATATGAAATTCCTAATATGCTTATATAACCACGAAAGCCAGTCACAGTGGCTTCACCCCAGCAAGAGAGCAGAGAAACAGCTTCAGTTCAGTCTACACGTCAGCATGTCCAACTCTCACCTCCAAACCACACGGACTCGAATACATCTTAATTTATTTGTTTTACATCATCATTTATTTGAACTCCTGTCTCTCTACCCACCAGCTAGACTACGTGCCTTGGGCTCAGTGGCAATATCCTTATTTGTATTGTGTTACCTTCTGTGTCACAGAAGTCAGTTGAGGGACACTATCTCTGCCATATGCCTCCCTATGTAATATTAACCTCTGAGAGTTATTTTAGCATCTGACAAAACAAATTACAAAAAGGGTGTAAGATATTTTATTACCCAACGCTGACGGATAAGTAAACTGAGGCACAGAGATCAGCGCCACCTCAAAGTCAAAGCCACTACAAGTGCATGATTCTGTCCCCCAAAACTGCAGCGAGTGGCTCCTTGGACTCTTTCATCAGGGAAGCTGTCTGTAGTCTGTGCATCCATTTTTCTGTCTGTCTCTCCATCTATTCACTCACTCATGCGTTCATTTACCACAAACGTTCTGGGTGCTTATTATGTACCAGGGAATGTGAGAATCACTGAGGAGATGGTATGAGAAAAGAGAAATTGATGTCTATCTGCAAAGAGCCTGCAGCGTGGTGGAAAAACAGACATTCATCAAACAATCAAAGCACATATGCAGCAGATTCAAGAGAACTTGGCTACAACATACAGATGCTCGTTAAACACTTCCTTACTGAACATGCTTGTCAGGCCCTGACTATGTACCTGATGATACATCCCTTTTCCCTGGTGTCTTAATGCTCCCCATCCAGCCGCTGCATCTTACCTCTTTCCCTGATGATACATCCCTTTTCCCTGGTGTCTTAATGCTCCCCATCCAGCCGCTGCATCTTACCTCTTTCCCTGTCCCAGCGCTGCAGTCGGCCAGGGTGAAAGGAGACGGCTCGGCATAGCACTGCAACCAAGCACAGGGCTTTCTCGGCCGCGGCGTTGGCTGTGGTTTTGATGCTGAGTAACTGCTGGGGTAAACTTTTTTTTTCCTTTCCTGGGTCCAGGAAAAAAGCAGAAAAAAGAGCAGCATTAGAACTCTACTGATGACCTGGTGTGATAGAAAGACGGGTACTCTCGCTTTATGAAGTCTTAAAAATAAGAGTGAATGTTCACTAAATAATGTGTGCACTTAATCTAGGGGGTGTCTGTCAAAATCCAAAGTAGAAATATTAGCTACCATTAATGGAACGTGCACACCTTCTCAGATGCTCTGCTCTGAAGCTCACGGCTGTGATTACAGAACAGAGTCCATGTGCTAGCCACGGCTGATTAAATACTCTCTGTATTTGCCATGCTGAAAGTTTTAGGTAAAAAAATACAAGTTTACAAAGTAACAAACACTTCACAGAGGGACTGTTTCTCACCCTTTACCCACCTATGTCTCCTAGGGCTGTTCTATAGATTAAACACCCCATCCCCCAGGTAACACACATGCACACAAATGTGCACACAATGGAAATTTAGAATTTTCTAGAAGAAAACCACCCAACTATTAGTAGCATCCAAAATTGTCAAACAAATATGATAATCTGGTCTCTTTGATGAGGGGATGTTTGTTATAGTTTACTCTTGGGGTCAGACGGATCTGTACTTCATCATCATGTAACCTTGGGAAGGGACCTGATGTGTGTTTTTTATGTATGTGTCTCAGCTCCCTCATCTGTAAAATTGGGATAAAAATCCACGTATTTTAAATATTGATGACATACTTCAAGTTAGTGTCAAGCAGAGTGCATGATAAGTTTTAGGAGTGAAATGAAGTTAGTTCTTTACCGTAGATCTCTGTTATTCAGGAAGATAATGACACTTAAAGCATCCTGACAGCTCAGAGAATATAAGCCGATTAATTTATCTTTTCACTGTGACTTTTAAAAAATCGACTATGATTTTAAAATGCGAACTTTGTATCCATGCGCCTTGATCTGATTATGCGAGGACTTATCTCTTTTAAATGCACTGGAATCCTAAAGCTGATTCCATTATTTGAGCCATTTGATACTATTCTGAAGTTAGTGGATGACAGCATGGGGAGGAACACAGTTTAAACAAAAAACACAGGGCTCAGACTTTTTTTTTTCTAACAGGGTAGCCTGGCATAGTAGGAAAAAAAGTTGGATTGGGGGTCAGAAAAGTAGATTAAAATTCTGGATTTTCTGCACCCTTTAGGCACATTGCACAATATTTCTGAATCTCTGATCTCTTTCAGTTAAACGGGGATCAAATTTCGTATCTTATAATGTTGTACCAAAGCAAAAATATAGATTAAATATAGATTATACCAGTTCTTTTTTAACTTTCAAACCACCCACTCTTAAAATAAGGAAAAATAAATTGTATTTATCATTTTCCATAATATTCCCACCTATTACAGCACTTCTTGTTATATTGTTTGTATATTTCCTCTATCAAAAAATGAGCAAAAAAGGTGCATTTTACACACTTAGAAATAAGCCTGGCACCTGGCAAGAACATTGAGAGAAGTTAGCTCGTACAGCATCTCAAAATGCTCAGCAAGTGGCAGGTGCTTGGTGACTGTTGACTGGCTGAATGAATGGATGGACAAATGAATGCACGATGCGTGTGGAATGCCAGGGGACTGAGCAAATATCTGGATTTCAAGTCTGAGATAACTGTCTGCCCATGCTGTCCCCCTCTTTAGTTCAGCATTCAGAATGGGTTGGTATTGTATAAATAAACTCAGGTATCTTCCACCTTTGATCTCCAAGGATTCTGAGATGAGCATGAGGGCTCTCTGTTTGAATTCATACTGAAAAACACGATGTCTTGTCTTTATCAATAGGCTGACCTGGGCTTTAGGCCCAATACTCATAGGGAAAATTATGTTGAAAACAAATAGTTCCAAGAAAGTAATTCTGCAAATTCACACTGAAGGTTGCTTCTGTTCTTCTCTCAGGGCACTTTGATACAAAGAGAGAGAGAGAGAGAAAAGGGAGCTCTTCCTCAAAAACACAATTTCTTGGATATTTTCAACTTCGTAAATGCTTTTGTTACTTCCGGCAACAGCAAAATGAATAAGCACACAGTGTGAGAAGATGTAGTTCCACTAAAACGGCGCCAAGCGCGTGGGCAATGGCCTCCCTCAGCCTCGACAAACGTTTCCTCTGCGGGTACTGCCTTCCCAGCCGAGGCCGGGCGAGCTGAGTGAGTGCTCGCAAAAAGCTGGAAGCTGTGATCTAGCTGAAAGGAAGGGTCAAAGAAG